TCAGCAAGCTTCAGCTCGTAAGAAATAAAACGAGGTTTTCCAAATTCTAACTCACGCGGCCTAGATCCTGTTTCAGGCATGCTTTTACAAACGGCCAGGGCAACCTGAGGCAGGAAAGGGGATGCCCTCAGCTATGCACAGCCAAGACTTCGGTGCTTTGCCCAGTGTGATTTAAGCAGCTCCTTTAACAGTCCTCTCATCTCAAGAAGCGTGAAAAAAAGAAGAGGAAGAAAAAAGCGGAGCACATTATGCAATACTGATAGAGCTCAAATATGACTGCCACATTAGCAGTGAGTTTGATTTCCGTTTCATACCCTTTAGGTGCCAGTCTTCCAGCAGTTTACTTAGTACTGATAACTAAAGCTGAGGTGTATGTTTCCCAGGGGAAATCCTGGAGTACAAAGAGACAGTTTTATACTTGATGCTGGTCTGGATACTGTCAGACACACTAGGACATTTCTGCATGTGTATATATGTGCAGAGAGAGAGAGACACCATGCAATGAGCAGTGAAACTGTTCAGTTTCTCCTGCAGACTGCAATGGTTAAGAAGCTAATTGCACCAGTTATTTCATGCTAAAAGTACACTTGATCAGACTGCTACTGTGAATGGGCTGAGAAAGCATTTTTGGAAAGCTTCACGTTACAATTGGTATTACAAAGGCTGGAAGCAGACATCTTGCTAAAAATGCAGGAGTTCCCAGTGTGAACTAGTTCCCAGCTTGTTCTAACAACAGTTTGCATGATGAATGGCCAGCACGTTTAGCACAGAAGTACAGGTTTACTCAGCTTTTATTTTTAGCTTCATACTTAAACCATTATTCAATCACTTATACATCATTTTCCACTGTCAGTTTGTTTTCCGTCAAAATGTTGATGTCCACAGACACAAACTACATTAATAAATATAAATAAAGTGGATCTTTCCTTTGAAAAAAGTAACAGTTTTACATAATAAGAGAGTTTTACATCTTGCTGAATATTTTTATCAGTTAGAATGAATTAAATGGGTGCAATTTGAATTAACTAAGTAGACGCATATTGCCTTTGAAGTAGCTACTACAGGAAGGCTATCAAAAGCACTCAGTAACAGTTTTATACTAGACGCAGACTCTCATTGATTTCAATGTCCTGCCACCACACAAACATGAAGTATATGCCCAGAATTTATTGAGCAATACTTTCTGATTTCAAAACAGAACCTGATTCGTGGCTTATTTTCTTGGCGTATGCAGGTAAAGCTTCAATGTTATACTACTCAATGGACTGTAATAGAATAGCGAAGGTAGTTGGCATAGAAAAATCTCAGTTTGCTACTAAAATAATAATGTTCTGTGCCTTTAGTTATAGCAATTAAAATAACCCACAGTGATAAGAATTATTAAGGATTACCATATTTGCTTATTAACATCAAAGTCCAATTAGTTCTGTGATGAAACAATGATTATCAGACTATTAAATAGTGATATCTAATTATTTTAGAGAAAAGCATGCATATTTCTATTCACAGGCTTACAATCTCATCTTGCAACATAATGCCTTGTAAAGGAAAGATGCATATCATGCAAGAATTGGGCTGCTAAAATTCTTAAAAGCTGATCAAGGCTCGATTCATCAGGCATTATATAGGTCATACTGGTTAACACCCGCTAAGTGATGAGCATGAAGTGCAATATGGTGCAACACCGATTTCATGCATGTTGAAGTCAGTATTCCTGGCTGTCTCTGAATTTTACATTAATTAGTAGAAAAAATTGATGAACAAACTGCTCTTTATGGTCTAATCACGGTAAGACCTGAAAGCTAACAAAAAAGCCCAGTGAGCTGCTGACAAATTTGGGGATCAGTTTATAGCTTGGGCTTTAGGGAATTCTCGTTAAAACTGCTGTGCAAAGATGCAGACTACGGTCAATTTGACCCCAGATCCTGCCTGTGTATTGACAAAGCAGAGACCAGAAAGACATTTGAAATTCCAGTCAGAATGATATTTTTCAGGATCTTCTGTCATTTTACCCACGTGTGAAGGGTATTTAAAAGAAGGACGACTGAAAAGAATGTTTGAATCTTTTTTTCCTCCCCTCAGGATCCTGGTTTGTTAATGAATCATCCTAACAAAATATTTAGTTAAAAAGGGGTTATTCCTCCTTGCTATCCTCTTCCTATACTTTGACAAATTTAGGAGAATATAATCCTTGTTCATATATATATGTATCCGCTATTTTCTTAATGCTTTCCTACAGAAGTAGATTACATTTTTCAAATAAGGTCGATTTCCTCAGGGTCAGTTAGCTGGACATCTATTTATGCTGTGTCTTTAAGTCCTTTCTTAAATGCAGGATATAATTTCCTGTCCAAAAGATGCTTGACAATATTAATTATGTTCCCAGTTTCAAGAGCTTGTACAATATTGAGAATGAAATAAGCCAGATAAAGTTCTAAATGGCTCAGTGGCAGGAAATTTTACTGAGGAATTTCAGCAGTTACCATTGCGTGGATGATGAGGAAGACTACTTCAGACTGTACTTCATCCCTGTCCTACAGCATTTCTTCTGTTCTTTGTTTGATGGGCTACTTCCCACTGAGTAGCAAATATATAAAAATTCATTGCAGTCTCTCTAGGTCTTTTGATATTGCCTTATACAAGAAACACACGTTCCCAAGTTTTAGGGTGTTTTTAAAAGAGTTGAAGAAAGGTCTCACACAGACTATTTCCATATTTATGTGTTAGTGTGCCTAAAAGTGATTAAATGACTTTGAATACAGATGCAGACTCAAAGTAATATGTACTTACACAGCAGGTTTCATCCAGCAGTTCTGCAGAACCTACAAACAGTAAGGTTTAAATCACCAGCAGGAGCAAGGAAGCTGAACTCTCTCTCAAGCCCTATGCTATGGTTAACGTTTGAGGTTAACTGTAAGGAGTGGATTGTTCTGAATCCCCATCTGTGGTGGATTCACCACCTGATATGTATATTCAAGTCATTAGGAGTCTCCACAGATCAGGAGAACATCAGATTTCTGATTTGTGTTGTAATGACAATAGCATATCTCTTAAATTACTACCCTGAGGCTGGGTACATGTTCATGAATATACATACCAGAAGATATAGATTCATTTGGCCTTATTTAAATGGAATTGATCCCTTGATAAATATACAGTGGAAATCTTCTTGGAAAAGACCAGAAAAAATCAATCACCTAGGAGAGGTGGCCATTAACTAAAAGTCTAACAAAAAATGTACGGGAAAGCCATGGGGATAAAGTACTTGAAAGTGGTTGATTAAAGTAAAGCAGGGCGGAAAAGAAGGGTCTGACAACCATTCCAGTTTACACCATGATCTTATCAGCTCTCAGAAGACTTGGAAGAAAAACCTCTGGAGGACATACGGTCAAATTTTAAAAGAGGTTCACAAGCAGTTTCAAACATACATTTTTCTCAGGTTTGTTTTAGTTTTGCAAATATTTTGGTGAATGTACAACTTGAGCTTTGTGCATATGCTTTACTGCAGGCATTGAGAAGGGAAAGAAGGCAAAAAAGTAGTGCCATCTGGTTACTGTTTCCTGCTTTCTGATTTTCATTCATGTAAATCCTTTCTGATAGCAAATATTTGGTTATTTCCACATGTGTGTTGTCCTGGACATCCCCAGTAGTACATGATATATGAAATGAGAGCAATGATTCATAAGATGGAACGCCGGCCTGTGAGTCAATGCTAATAAATAAAGACATAAACTGTAGACAGCAAAGAAAGGAGAAAAATCTTCCAGATTTGATTTGTGAATTTTCAGTACTACCATCATCAAACATTTTCTGAATGTATCCCAGCACCTCAGCATGTTGCTATGCGGCATAGTGCTGGTTGTGACCTGCAATTTAACTAGACGACAAGGGTTATTACTTTATGTTAAGCAATTAATATCTGTCAAGCTAAATGACTCATCTTTGCGTGACCTGTTACACTGTCCTCAGCAAAACCGTTGAAGGTCATGAACATTGATGCTGTATGGAGGTAACCAAAGGCACGATGTCGTCCTGTTCCCATCTTCCCATGAACCAGAGCAATAAAGAGGTTTCATGCTGGCTTATGCGATGGCTCTGGGTTTGTCTAGAGCCTTGTCTAGTAAACCTTTTCAATGAGCACCTCATACCTCTCAGTGAGAAAGTGAGATCATCTAAACAGCACTTGATTCTCCCCAGCTCTCAAGTTCTGCTCAGTGTGCATAATACTTGCTAGCCAAGCCCACATTCAGTATCTGGCCTGGACTAATTTAGACTACTTCATCATGCCCCACCACTCTACCCTTAACACACCCATTGTCTCTTCCAATTGCTCTTTATACCAAGCTGTATATCCTAAAATCTCTGCCAATATATGCTATCAGTGTTTCTAGCTAGAAGGGAATTTTCTATCGCTTAATTCCCCAGCTCAGTAGACTTCCAAATATGCGAGTATTGAAACAAGCAGAACGCTAAAATAATATATATTTGGCAGACCCTCCCAGACAAATTCAGTAGTGCTATAAACTGATGCATATTCAATTCAGGCATATCAGTCACATCAAATTTGAGTATGATTATCAAAAGATTGTATTTGCGTATAATATAAAATACTTTTTTCCCTCCAATTACCTTATAAAATTTTTAGTGCAGATGATGCATAGGATTAATACATCCTCTCACTTATGGCAATAGAAAGATTGATTTTCTCTCTTTCTCCCTTTCTTCATATCAGGAAAACCTTGCACATTTCAACTTTCTTAAGCATAAAGCACAGCTCAGAAGAATGTTGTTTCATAACCACCTTCTGCAAACATTTTCTCATATAATATATATAAACCAGTCTGAGTTCATATCACATAGTAATCAATTACGTTAAACAATCTACTGCAAATTTCCTGCCAATAAAACACAAAGCCATTTTCAGTTTCTGATATGCCATCTCTTCGGCTATGTACAACAAATAGCAGTTTCACATAAGCTATAACAGTTTCTGCCTTTACCTGTGAAAAAGTGTCTTGTGTCCTTGTATTATCCATGTCTGTGAAAATTCTGCTTGTTTCATCAGTATCCCATAGGGTTACAAACTATAGTTTATTCATGAATCACACCTGCTTTTCCACAGCAGTGTTCTCTTTATCTCTCTCTCCTTCTCTCTCTCATGAAATCTTACAGCCAATGGCTTTTATCAAGTGTTACTTCCTTTTATACTGAGAACCGAAAGAAACAATAATGATGCTTTGCTTCCTTATGGCAGCTCTGTGAAAAGACAAAAAAATAAGTTCCTTGTTTGCTTTTCTTGAACTAATATTTATGTTTTAGTTACTTCCTGAAATCAGTGAGTCATAAACGCTAAAATTATGATGTATTAATACACATTGGTTCTATCTGAACACCCAACGTCTTAGTTACCAAAATATACTAAATGTAACAAAGTTTCCCTGAGGAACTGTAAATACAATGCTCAATTTTCACAGCAATATTTCTATGCGCAGCAGCAATCTTATATGCTTTCACATTCCAGTGTGAGTATGTGCACATTAGATCAAGGCACAAATGAATGCGCACATTAACGTCATAGGAGATTTCTGTATAGATCAACAGCATTTTAAACTCTGCCTTTGCTATCTATATTGGAAAAGAGAGTCTGGAGATAAGAAGAGGGAACTAACAGTAAGGCTTTCCCAAAATCCAACCCCAGTTCTGGCAATTATTTGGCAGCTATGGGAAAAACATACCTCGGTTTCCCCATCTGTGTATTGTGACTCGTGGCGCAAAAACATACAGAAATCGATTCAGAGATGAAATGGATTGAATAGACATGGCTGGAAGGTGGGTTCTTCATATTTTGAAATTCACTCTGCTCCAAATAGCAACATAGAGGAAAATTAAAGGTCATTAAGTATGTCAGGAATTGAAATATTTTGTTTTAATGACGGGTCTCAGTTCAGCTTTTCCACTACAATAACATGCCATTTTACAAACACAGTGAGAGGAACTTGAAAAGTTGGGTTCGGAAAAGGTGCAAATTGACCACTGTAGGAGCAAGGCCAGCAGCACGGCCCAGCCGCATGTTCCTATGCCCGGAGGTGTATAAATCTCACCCACTCTTTCAGGTGACTTTGCTGTGGACTCTTAGGGAACAGAAGGCAGCACTGCAAGAGTAAGAAGAAGGTGCAGGCAGCCTGAATTAGGGCTGGCAGCCAGAGACAAGCTCTAGAGAGCATTATGACAGAGACCTGGCCACCCATTCACCTTGTTGGCAGGCGTTCCTCCACAGGCCTGAAACTTGTGCCAAAGACCAGCCTGATCGCCGTGCAGGATAGAGGATCGCCAGCTTTATGATCAAGATCCTTTAGGCTTGCTTTCGTTATACACAGTAGAGGTACCCAGAAAGACCATAACTGATACATAGGAAATGTGTAGGAGGAAAGGGATTAGAAACTAGTACTCTCAGGATTTCTCAGGGTAATACAAATGAAAAGGAAGGTCAATATATATTAATATGAACAATTTTTAATCATTTGAATTGATTAAAAAATAGGTACCTTCTCTGAAAACTTGTTAGCTTAACAGTGGCCAGTAACATAGCAGGATATGATTAAGTCAAGACCTTCTGAAGAAATATTTAGCAAAATAGTGGGGTTTTTTTATAAATACTTTTGAGTCTGAATACTCTATGTCCAGGGTGATAGGATAGAAGTTGTTTACTAAACTGGAAATCATGGAACATATGTTTCTCTAAAGCTATCTTAAGTCATTTAGGTACATATTTCATTAAAAAGAAAAAAAACAAACAGAAACTAATTCATCGAAGAGTAAGTTCCCAGTACTGACCTATTCCCCTATTCCCCTCAGCCCTTGTGGAAATATATTTTTCTTTTTAAGTGAAAGAATCCTATGGACCTTTTCCTATAACGCAATTATAGCACTGCACAATTTTTTAGAATGGAAAAATGACAGGTTTCTTTTATAAAGGTTTTGCAGGGATATTAGCTTTTTTTCCCCTCTGCTGTCTGCAGAATAGCGCTTTTTGCAAGGTTGCAAAGTATGTGAGAAAACAGTTAATCAGAACAGAGCTCAATTGCTACTTTCAGAGCAAACATTTTCAATTAATCTGAAGTCATTAATTACACTCTCCTTTAATAAAGGCTCTGGTGTAATTTTCTTTTTTTTTTCTCTAAGTTAATCAATGCAAACATATGCCAGGATCATGTGTTGCAGAAAACACATGGGAAAATTCTATACTTAAATAAACTACTCTCCAGTGAAGAGGAAACAATGTAGAAAAGGGTTTTGACCTAAGATGGAAGAGCAAGACCACTTTTTAAGTGTTGTGTGACTGGCACACAAGGTAAATGAGTTGTATCGGGAATGTATATTTTCCTTCAGAGAGACATAAACATCTCTGACAATTTCAGAGAGTTTAACACAAAAGCTAGGTACCGTAGCCCTCCCATTTCTGCACTCAAAATTCATCTTAGTGAGACCTGGCTTCCTCCTAGATGTCATGATGACCCCTCTTTGGAGGAAGAGTCCATTCGGTACCCCTTCCATCCTCTCTGTTTAAGCATAATTTGTTGGGTTGCTATAAAGAACTGTGCTTTAACCCTAAGCTTAACCACTCTTGTCCCCATTGAAATATCAGTTAAAACACACTGCTGATGTTCTGCCCACACTGAACTAAGCCGACTGATGTATAAAGAGCATACTGGTATTCATTTTCCCCTAGCTTCTGCTTGTGCTTAGGCTGCGAGCTCTTACACACCAAGATTGTCTTGGGAAAGTACCTTACTCAAGGAGTACCGTTCCTGTAAATAAATACTAACAATGTAACAGCTAGCTTCTTTTACAGATGAAAATAAAGAACGATTGCCTTACTATAGAGGCAAAACAGAAGCACATGGGAAAAAGTGTTTCACATTCATAAATGCCAGTGATCCAGTTATCATAGCGCAGAGGGAAAAAAGCAGGTGTCAAAGATGACTTTGTAGTCCCTTCTCCTTCTTCCTTGGTAGTAAAACTTTGTGTTTGTGGCCAAATAGGGTTTTCCTTTACATGGAAAAATGCTTTTGAGCTTTTAAACCTAAAAAGACAATTGAGATTACTCAGATTTACAAAGAAAGCTTCAATATAGCTTTTTCCAAACTTCTTTAGTTTCCACGTTCAACCACAAGCTGTGTGACCTACCCCTCAGCTTCCTGGTTTGCATTACCTCACTTCATATTTTCACCTAGAGGCCCTGCAGTGCTAGGCATGACTTAACATTCCAGATATTCAGATATTTTCCTTCCTGCTTTTTAAAATGTGAAATCCCCACCAGTTTTCCAACAGCATATTGTGAATAACACTGTGTGAACATATTATTTTGTGGTTTTATGAAAGTTCAAAAAAAATTCTGTGCATTTATATCAATCTGAAGCATTTCTTTAATAGGCAAAAGTCAAAAAAGGCTTGGTGTTCGTTCTTTGTCTGATTAAAGAAGTTTCCTTAAAAAATTGAATCTAAGAAAGGGATATCTTGAACTAAGTCATTTAAGGCTGAAAAATCAGAGTTTCGTCTCAACGTATTGAAATACAACTTTTTTTTTTTTTGAATGCATTAACTTCATAGAAATATTTTTGCCTCTCAAGCATGAACATTTCAGCCAGGCTGGAATGCTCTTGCAAAATATTTTAGAGTTGGGAAATAAAGTCTTTCACTGGAAATTGTTTCACATCAAAATTACTGGCTAAACCGATTTTATAAATGGGCTCTTTCCTTTCTCTGTAGAAGAGTAATGTTGAAAAAGTGAGGAAGTCAGAACTCCTGGTGACTCCACTGTGCAACGGGGGGTTTTGACCTAGTACAACAGAGTGTATACCAAGGGTATTAATCAGCAGAAGGTGATGTGGGGAGACATGCTGATGGTACATCAAGAAAAAATAATTGGGGGGCAGAGGTAGTGGGGAAGGAGGAGTAACTGAAGTAAGTACAGCTCACTTTTCTAACGGAAAGGGGAAGAAAGAGAGAAAAAGCTGAAAGGACCGTAAGTGGGTAGAGTAGCTACACCAAAGGAAGTACACTGCAATTATAAATGTCATTTCTTAGACTAGGTTAATGGGTACATCAAGGAACTAACTGAGACACTGGATAAGAAACATCTGACATTAAGGGTAAGCAGGAAGAGTGTCACAACAAAGTGCTTGGAGGTACTGCTCAGCAACCAAAGAAGAGATTTTGCCTTGAACTGCAACACATGAAAGAGAAAAACAAGACATTCAGCACAGCTATGGATCTCCACAGTGAGAAGAGATGGCAGGGCGAGAAACACTCATAGGTACAAAGGAGGCCAGCAGAAAAATAAATAACCTGCAGGATGCTGGGCCTATGTTTTACCTCAATTGCTTGCTGGCTGAACACTGATGTCCTTCCTCCCACTCACCCCTTCAGCTATGGACATTTCATAGCTTCAGGGGTTTAACTATTTTATTGTAGTTGCTATTTCAAAGCTAGCAGCTTGGGGAGACTGATACTGTCTATGTCCTATGTGAGTTTCCCAGAGACACTGCGCTGACAGCGTGCCTCAGCCTGCAGCTGGAGGCACCCTTGGTCAGATGCTGCAGATGCTGCTGAAGTCCGTGATGCCAATTCACCGAGCTGGGAATCAGCGACGGGAAGGGGATAATGCAAAGGAAACCGCTTGCTCATTTCCTTAAGGATCCCTCAGCTCTGAGTAAAAAAAAATGCTAAAAAAACACTGGATTGATCTGTCTGGCCGGGGCTCCTGCTTGCGCTGCGAGCTTTGGGCCAGGGCTGTGCAGCACCTGGCACGCCAGGGCCGGGCTGCACGTTTGCAGCGCAGCTCAGGGGCATGGCAGCAGCATAAACAGCGAGGGTGGGGAGTCACATGGCGTCACTCTAGACCGGATCCAAGAGCTAAACAAGGACTTGCAAGAACCGAAGGAAGGGCAAGGGGAAATTTTTTTTTTTAAATCTTCTGCCTCCATAGACACAGATGATGAACAAAAGTAAGCTGAAATCTGCGTTTACCTCAATGGTCTTTGAATTCCTTGAAATGTTCTTTGAATTCCTTGAAGAAATCTGGCCCAATGAAGAAGTCAAGAACTATGCAGAAACACACCCTTTACAATTCAAAATTATTAAATTAAATTATTAAATTATTTACTCTACTTTTTAAAAGAAGCAAAGAAA